GCACCCTGACCAGCACATCTCTTCCTTGTGGCCTTTCTGACAGGGGATGTTCAATTGATGCTGATAGGCTTTGGGTCTCCACTCTGTCCTCCCCCTTATTCCCATTGACATGTTTTTATTTGTTTGTTTTGTTTTGGGCTTTGATGCCTGATATCTGATCCCATTGACACCTCATGATTACACAGGCTGGTATGCTACTTCCATGTAGGCTTGGTTGTTTCTCAGCTAGATGGCTGCTTGTTTATCTTCAATCCTTTAAGACCCCAGATGCTATATCTTTTGATAGCCGGGCATCATCAGCTTTCTTCACCACATTTGCTTATACACCCATTATATCTTCAGCAATCCTGTCTGGAAAGGTGAATATCATAGAGTGTGATGTTAGTAGAATAAATTGTTCTTGCATTAAAGGAGTACTTCACTGGAGAACCAATGTCCATCTGATGCCATAATACTTTATAAAAAATATAAGTCCATATATCTACTCCCCTGTCATTATATATAAATGTATTTACATATATACATGCCTGGATTTAGACCACTATAAATGTCCGTTGCCTCCCAGTTCTTTCCTCTACTTCCTTTTACTTTCCTTCTGTCCCACTATCATGTTCCATCTTCATTAAGGTTTCGGTTATTCCTCTCAGCTATATTGCCCTTGATCAAGCCCCCCAGCATCCTATGCCCTCCTCATTATCAATTTTAGATCACTTATTCTTCCCCTTGTCCCTGGGTTTGTTGGCACCTCCCTCCTTTTCCCTCATCTCCCCCTGTCCCGTGTCTCCCCAGAAGTGTCCGTCCCATTGTTCTCTCCTCCAGATTGTTCATCCAGTTTATTTTGTCCAGAGACCCGTGCACAGACAGTAATCCATGCAAAAACAAAGCAAAGCAAAACATAGCAAACAGAGCCCAAAAAATCAACAACAGCTAATACAACAAAGCAAACAAGGAAAGAAAGAAAAACCAACATCAAAAACGGAAAAGCCCTCAAACAGTTGCAAGTCTGTGCATTGACCTTTATGAGTGCTTCCCAGGGGAGTCCGCTGGGGTGCCTCAGCCTGGCCCACAAGCCCACCTTTGAATTCCTTGGGGACTGCATTGCTTTGCTCCCCTTGCTGCTCCGCTGTGCACCCTTATTGTTTCATCCTGTGTGATGGGGTTGAATCGGGCACATCTCCCACACTGTGTCCCTAGTGCTGTCTCCCTTAGTGCTATATGTCAGTGAGAGATGTCGCCCTGTCTCATGATGAAGCCGACCCTGTGATCCTCTCTGTGTGTTGTCTGCTCTAAGCCAGAAAGTTGTTCTCAGGGCTTGGTGGGCCCGGGCGTGTTCCATTCTCTCCTTCCCTCTTCATTTGCTCCTAATCAGACGCACCTCACTACCTGAGCCACAGGTTCAGTGCAGTCCTCTAAAGTGCATCCCTCTGGCGTGGGGGGTAGACGGTGCCCACATAGTTGGGATTTGAGATTACACTGGAGACCCGTATATTGGGTCCCTGCTTCATGCATCTACATTGCATTCACGTCTTGGCGCACTGGGTGGTTGGTGAGTTCTCTCCCACCCCCCACCTCCACCCCACCTCCTGCTACCACTGTTCCTCTCTCTTTTTCCCCACCTCCTTATTTTTTGGCTGCCATACATATCCCTGGGTTGGGTTTCACAACAACCTTAGTACCTGGACCAAACCCCAGGAGTGTATTTATATAGTATCTTTTGCCGTATGCCCCTTTTTTACTTCTTTTTCTTTTCTTTCTTGCTTACCTCAGTGGACTCATTTTGTACTTGTCTTTTTGTGCTTGGTTTACTTCCCTTAGCATAAGTTCCTCCAGTGCTTCCCATGCAGCAATGTGTTTCATGAGTTCATCACAGCTTTTTAAGGATGCATAGTACTCCATTGTGTGTATGTACAACTGATTTTTAATCCATTGATCCATTGATGGAACTTGGGTTGTTTCCTTCCTTATAATTGGGAACTTTGCTGTGATGAACACTGGAGCACAGAAGTCTGGCTGTGCTTTGTTTCTTGTCTCTTCTGGGTCTGTGCCCAGTAGAGGGATTGCTGGGTAGGGTAGCTAAACTTCCATCTGTTTTAGATATCGCCAAATCAATTTCCTTAATGGCTGTAAATACCTGAAGTCCACCACCATTGGATAAGAGTTTCTATCTCTTCATAGCCCCTTCAACACTTGTTACTTTCTAATATTTTGAATTGGGCTGTCTTTGAGGGTGCTAGGTGGTATCTCAGAGTTGCTGTAATTTCTATTTCTCTTATGGGTAGGGATCTGGAACATTTTCTCATATGTTCACTGGCCATTGGGAATTCTGCCCTTCATAAACTTCTCTTCAGGTCCTTTGCCCACCTCCTCAGTGGGGAATTATTTTTTTTTCTTGCTGTATGGTAGCAAAGTACATTAGATTTTAGAAATAAGGCCTTGGTCTGATGTGTCATTGCTAATGATGTTTTCCCAGTCCATGGTCTCTCTTATTACTATCTTGGTGACTTCTTTCTATGTACACAGGTGTACATGTAAAAGAGAGTTTTATATAAAGGTTAACTGTGCATC